TTTGTGACTGAGATATTTCACTCAGCATAATGTCCTCCAGGAAGAAATTAAATTTTTTAATGTACAAGTCTCCAGGTTTTAAAATGTTAGTAACTAAATCAAATTATACAACAACAATTCAAATGAAATAACTCGATGAGCCAGCGAAGATGTTATTCCAGTCACTGCCCTCAAGCCACTCTTCTGAAACCTCTATTTCAATGTATCCTTAAAGTTCTACACTATAAATGCAGAACCTTTTCCTTGGATTGACACAATGACTATAATGGGCTTGAGTATGGCCGAGACAGGATGACACAGGATAGGACTGTGTCCAGATCCATTGTTCACAGGGTAGCTAAAGTTGTAGCTGATCTGATGGTGCTCAAACAACAGCAACATAGGTGCTACTAATCTGCATTATATATTATCAACTCTAGCGCACCTAACAACCACTTGCCGTGTGGAAGCTCTGGTAGATTGTCCACAGAGGGTTGTGCTGCTGACCCAAAGATTCAGATACTCTTTAGGGATTTGAACCCACCAACAGCTCCTCTGGAGAAAAATAGGCAATTTCTTTTTTTTTTTTTTAATACAATTTTTATTTTATACTGGTTTACTTACAAAGTTCATATACATTGTTTTTCACGTCGTATCTTTCCCATTTCCTTTACCCACCTCTCCCTCCACCCATGAAATTTTGCAACCCTATGACTAACAACCCCCGATCCGCCGCCCATCCTCACTCCTCTGCTCCCACCCACCCTGCCTACAATGATGATTTTATACAGTATTTTTCCTTATGGGACTGAGTGAGGTCAGTCAGCATAATGCTCTCCAGTCCCTCCCAAGTTAGGTAATAATTTCCAAAATCATTGCTCCTACATGCTGTTAAGTATTCCATTGTGTGAATGTACCGTAATTTCTCAATCCATTCGATTGTGGTTGGACATCTGGGCTGTTTCTATATTTTTGCAATAGTGACTAATGTTGCTATGAACATTGGTGTACATGTCTCTGTGCCTCAGTTCTCATTTTCTCGGGGTATATTTCACTCAGTGGAATAGCTGGGTCATATGGAATTTGTATGTTCTGCTTTTTGAGGAAACACCAACCTGTCTTCCAGAGTGGTCGTACCATTTCACAATCCCTCCAACAGTGTTTTAGAGATCCTCCGTCACTGGGGTAATGGGGATAGGTGTGTCGGAGTCAATAAGATTGGCAAGGAATAGAGCAGGGTTTAGACCTGTTGTACATAGGGTCGCTATGAGTTGCAAGCAACTTGACAGCACATAACAACAGCAACAACATCTCTCCACATAAAAATAGGCAAAATCTTGTGAAATTCACAGCCTCTGAAAACTTGCTAAAGAATCAGCTGTAAGTTGGTTCCAACTAGACGACAGTGTCTTACCCCTACAGGGGTAGGCATTTGAATTTGTGACCCTTGTGTTAAAATGAGCTGGTTAAACACAAAACAAACAAACAAACAACAACAACAACAAAAACCCAAACACCCCTCATCATCATTGCTGTCAAGTTGGAATCACCTCACTCCTCAGCTGATCCTCCAAAAGGTTTTTGGGAAGCTGTAAATTGCCCAAGAGGAGATCACCCGTGTTTCTCACTTGGAGCTGCTGGTGGATTCGAAACGCCAGTGAGGTGCTTGCCTGTTGGTTAACAGGGCAACTGCCTATGGATTAGCTACCAGAGTGCTCTGATTCAACACAAACTGGAAAAAAGGCAAGTTGTATATGTAATAAGAGCCTATTTTCATGAAAACAATTCTTTGTATGTGTCTAAAAAATCTGTTATTGTAGCACCAGGTAGCAGCAAGCAGGGGGCCATCTAATTTTACTATGTTCCCATTTTGAAGTATACTCCTTTAGAAATGACAGATCTTCATTAAAAGGTCTCCCCAGGTGA